TACACAGACTCTTGCTGTTTTCAAAGTTTTTCTTAATGGGCATTTTCATACTTACAGCGCTGTACTATTTAAGAATTAAAAAGTGCCTGAAGCATCTCAGCCAGATTGTACAGTATAAATGTGTTAATCCAGGGAAGATTTAATCAGAGAGGCTTTTATTATGTGACTACTAAGAAGGCTAAATTCTCTTCAGCTCTGCTCTCGTGAGGGCAGCCCCAAATTCCCAAAGCTCTTGCAGTTCACAGCACGGGTCCTGAGGGTGCCATTCTAATTGCCAGGATCCTGGGGTTTTGTTGTTGACTTACGCTGTTTTCCCAAGGACCTAAATCCTGCAGACACACCCCCAAAGTTTTAGCTGTTTGTTAACAAAATAAAAGCCATAGATATTAAAAGAACATAAGATAGTCGAGATTCCAGAAAAATACCAAAAAGGAGATGAGTGCAGTCATAGATAGAGAGGAATGGCTAAAAAGAACAAATTCTGGAAATGGCTGACTTTTTTCTGTCTCCTTCTAACATTGTCTCCTGGGGTCCTCCAATTTTCTAAAGATTTCTGTAAAATCCCATTGTGTTCTTAGATGCATCCTTTACTCATTTTGAAGGAGAGTTGAGCTGAATTAAATCAGTAGAGAAGTAACAGTGAAAAGGAAAGAAAATATTTAGACACCTAGAAAGAGTCTGTGCTCACTCCAAGAATATCACTTTTTAGGAGAGCGAGGTGGTTGGGGGCATCTGTTGCCTCGTCTGGTGATCTGGCCTGACTTGTGCTGCTCCGTGTGCTGCGTGTCCCAGACGTCATGGACCAGCAGTGTCGATTCCACTGGGCTTGGTTAGAGGTCATGAATGTTCACCGGCCCACAAACTCTACTCTTTTTTCCCAGAACAGGAACGAGGCAGCCACCTTATCACACAGCCTCCAAATTTGTCGCTGGACACTCCCCAGAACGATCTATTTCTAGGGACACCACACTTGCCCTTGCAGACCCTGGAGGGCTGGTAGCGTGAGCAGCCTCCTGTCCAGAAGGCTGGGCAGGGCCCCACGTGAGCACCCTGAGCAGTAAGTAGGCTGCAGGGAGCCTGTCAGGAGCTCCAGGAGGAATGTTGCACCCTTGCCAAGTGAGACGGAACTTTGCTCCTGGATTTTGATCTTGACCCCAGCAAGAGTTTTCTCCTAGGGCTTTGTGATGGCCTAGAAAGCCAATGACTGTGTTCTCACTCTGGCCATTGACGTGCCCGCCAAGGGAAGGGGCTCTGTGGCCGTGGAGATGCAGTTTTCTGGGAGGTAAGGGACGCCCAGCTTCCTGAATTTTTCCCAGCAGTGTTTCCATGGCGCCATCCATAAAAAGTCAAGTCATCGTTTATCCTGTAGGCACCAGCTGTGTGTGCAGGTGCACCTTGCGGGGGGGCAGGTAGGCACAGGGTGGGGAGGTACGTTCACCCAGGGGTGGCGAGGTGGGTTTGCCTCAACCGTGCAGTTCTAGTTGATGTCCTTGGATGGGCTCTTTGTCTCGGACTGAGCTTCAATGAAAGGCAAGTTCCAAAGCGGGGAGCACATTGTGTCATGAATGTTTATCCAGATTCTGAACTCCTTATGATGTTTTCATATGTTGGCTGCTTCACTGATCTTTGGCTGTTTTCTTGGAAAAGTAGAAAGAGCAAGGACAAGGAGATCTGACTCAAATGTGCTGCTTTTCCCCTCTTACTACCACGAGAGATTGAGGGCAGGTGCTCAGCTTGTTTTTTGCTGAAATGAGGATTTACATCATTTGTGGATGCCATTTTTTTCTTGAGTCTTTTTTTTATCGTGGAAAAATATATGTAACATAAAATTTATCATTTAAACCATTTTTAAGTGTATAGTTTTAAGGGTTAGGTGGTATTAAGTACATTTACACTGTTGTACAACCATCACTACCGTCCATCTCCAGAACATCTTCATCTTTCCACGTTGAAACCCTGTACCCACTGAACAAAGTTCTTGCATCTTTGTCTCTCCCTCCCCCCTCTCCCCCTCTCCCTC